TGTGTTTCCACCGTTATAAAGGCCGACACCGGAATTTCGACCACTGCGCTGTAAAAATCAAGCCTTTAAAAACCAAAGAAAAAAACCTATTAATTTATGCAACGGCAGCAGAGTGGCCAAGAAAATTTCGAGGAGGAAGACGAAAGGGTGAAAAACAAAGAAAACGTAAACTGTTTTTTCCTGAACATATAAAACAGGGATAATCATTTAAAATGCGAGTTATTGCGAGAATTACTTTCTTTTGAAAATTGCTAATTTTTTCAGTACTTCTGAAGCAATACACCTTTTTTCCGTTTCCTTTACCGAGTCTTAGAAGAGCTTCAGAAAACCTTGAAATACGGTCCAAAATTTCCCCGTTTTTAGGAAATTTAAAAGAATATAACAAACCAGCAAACTGCTCCCCACCCATGTCGTTCTGAGTTTTCGCATATCAATTAACGGATAACGCGCTTCGTACTCAGCACGCTCCGATAATCGCCTCTTTATGCTCCTGCTGCTGCTAAATACCCGTTCACCCTGAAATTTTCGAATAAAAACAAAAATTCACCGAATAATCACTGGAAAAGTACGAGAAAGCCGCCACCCCTCCCCCCTCCCCCCTTCTCCCCTCCCGCGCTGGCTTGATGATGAGGCAAGCATTTTCATAATTTCTCCGTTTTTTCTCATTTTCATCATCTCCATCCTCATTTTCCCTTCCCCCTTCCTCCACCTCTTCAACTATTCCATCGCCAAACTCTCCAAGCGCGTATGAACAAGCGGAACGATGCAGTTTACGCTTAATGCTTTGCTCACATCAAGGAGACGCCGAAGTAACTAAAGCCTCGTCAAAAATATTGCGGGAGCTTTTGCGCTGATAATTCCTGCAGACGACAAAAAACACCAAGTTCAACAGCAGGCTGACTATAACGCGACGCAGGACTAGTCAAAGAATTTTAGTAATGCTACTCGCAGGGGACTGGTCAAACGTAGGACTAGCCTCCTCCCAGTAGCTTTACTAAAATGATACCATACGCCGAGCGTAGCTATGCCAGGCCCTTCTGATCCTGAGCTGTATGCCTTCAGCTAGTATCTATCGCCTGTTTAAAGTATCTGTTCAACGATGTGTATCAGGCAGTGGTACCTATACGAAGGTGAGCGACCACTCGGGCCTTTCTGGCAAATGTCCGAGTGGTCACTAGCCTCCAAGTGGGTATCACTCCCTAATGCACTATGTCCACTTGTTGTTGGCAAAAAACATGCAAAAAAAAAAAAACACTGTACGAAAAGCAAAACCTGAGTGTACTGTTGCTCGGTTTGTCGTCCATCATCATTTACGGACCGCTTTATTGCTCCATTTCGGACGAGAGTTGCACGTCCCCAATCCCCGGATGTTGATGGGAACGTTGCATAATCGCTGCTTTTCCGAGCAGGCCGAGCATAGTATTCAATTCGGTCACCATTACCGAACAGAGTTGAGCTAAAAACGCACTGTCAAATAATATGAGAGGTGTCCGATGCGAGGTAACATGAAAAATTTACATGAATGCATGGAGTTATGTGTACCACCACTCCATGCATTTAATTGAAATTTGGTGCCGTCTGCAGAAATGACAAGGACACGGATGATGATGGAAAGGAAAAGCTGCCCAAACTGTCAAGGATCACAATCGATCGAACAATTCGTGAGGTTTTTATGACAGACGTATCTGCGAGGGAGGGGCTATGGGTCTTTCGTCCCCTTCCCCTCTCCTCCTCCCCCACCTCTCCCAGCAGAATAAGCACCAGTGCTGCAAAAGCCCGAGTCTAACGCTAAAACTAAAGAAAACAAAAGCCTAAAGTAACTCTAAGTAGCAGTGTTTTCAACTCTATTCCTGGTTTTTGTATGGTCCAAGGTGGAAGGCCCATACCCTCCGCCCCCTCGGAGTCTGTCCTGGATTCTCCTATGCCTGTAAGCAACAGTTCCAGGAAGTTCGGTACCTCGACGTCGCTTGGTTGTAGCAAAATTCAACAGCAGGTAATAATGTGTGAAAAACATTAATTAAATAGCATGTCTTAAACTTCTCATTTCGTCCCCTAGCATGTCAACACTTATTGTTCCTTGTAGAATCTAAAACTCGCCTTTGGCGCTCAAGGTTTCTATCTTCATGAGCTGAATGGGGGACCGCTTGTCAAATTTTTTTAAAGTTTTTCGGGCATAAATGGAGCCAGTGGCGAACTATTTCGCTGTGTTGTAAAGGGGCCCAGACGGATGGACGCGAGCACAGGTAGAATCCGTGATAAAATTATCCATCCGTGGAGTAAAAAGCCCAGACGGATATACGTAGTAGACACAAGTGGCATCAGTGATAAGTTACTCCCCTGTGGGGTAAGGGATCCCAGGCACATGGACACCGATATAAGCGAAAGCAATGAACGAACTGTCATCGCTCTGTGAAGTACGGGGTTTAAATGGAACCACTGAGGGGGAAGGAGGGGGAGGGGAGGGCGGTCTTGGAACCAGTGCTAATTTATCCTCTACGGTATTTTAATTTTAGTTGGTATGTGTTTACGTAAGATGTAAGGAACTAAAAAAGGACTCGAGACGGAGGGGGAGGGGCACGAGGAGAGGGGGGAGGAGTTCGTGGAACCAGTGATAGTCTATTCCTCTGTGGTATAAGACCCAAGAGGTAGAAAGGGGAGGGGGCAAGTCAAACCCGCGATGAAACTAGCTAGCTGTCTCTGTATGGAGCAAAGAACTTCTTGAAAACTAACCCGCTTTT